ATCTAAGGATTTAAAAAATTAGGATGGAAATTTTAATACGGAAAAGTCTATTGATCATACGCCAAAAATAAATTAAAGTTGGAATAAAACTAATAATGTTTTTAATACTAATTTTAGTTAATTATTAATATTAATTTTAGTTAATTAATTAATAGAAAAATAATTTAATTGGACATTGTTGTATTTATGCACTATTTAATATACAATTTGATTAATTTTATTAATAATATATAAAGTGGTTGTTTACAAGTGTGAAGTCAAAGATTAACCTAACGGATCCGTTTACAAAGGCATGAAACGAGATAAATTGTATAAACTGGCTAGGCGATTGAATTTTATAAAAACCCACAACAAACGAATGGTCTTAGCGGTAACCAAACCATGAATATCGGAGATCCAGAAACCTTGGTTCAATGGAAAAACTAAGTTTGATAGTTCAGTGAAACACTTGAAAATTTTCACTCATTCCTAGGAACCGTCAAATGTTAAAATCTTCCTAAGTGATGAGGCTAAGTCGAGGACTTTTAATGATTCATATACATATGGGTGGAGTAAGGCAAGACACTCTGTATAGAAGAATCACATTTGTAAGTGAGAAGTAAATAAGTCGCTTCAATCGAACACTACTAAAGCGATATATGGTCCAAGGTCGACATGGGCACAACGTGAGAACAAGAAAATTGTTAGAGATGTTGTTGTGTAAGTACTATTGTCATCGAAGTCCGATCATGACACATAAACAACCGGTAAGCACCGCGCTACTAACCTGCTAGTGTATCTGATGTTATTTCACTAAGGAAACTTCAAAGCTACAAGCTATCTATCCTGATGCAATGACGGTTCGCCAAACTCTCAAATATTGGATACATGCATTAATTTCATTTCTGCAGGAGATTGTAAGAAAAAATTAGTTTTGTACCGATCTAACGGTTCCATTTTCTATAGGTGGAATACTTAGAAAATTCTTAAAATTATATAAAGGTGAATGAAAATTTAATTATAAGTGTTATATGTTGAATATTTGTATTTAAGTAGCTCAAATGTTATAGGGTTCACAAACATTTTGTTTTAACAAATGTTTGGACAAATTAAACGAGTCATAATCACGCATAATGTATGCTAGAATTGTAGAAGGGTTC